CTTTATTTAAATTATCTTGATTTCTATTTACAATTCGATCTCATAACAAAAACATCCCTTAAGTTTTATGTTTACTCTCCAGCCAGGAATACCATTTATTCCATATTAAATAGTACTCGGTGTCCTCCCTCTCCTTCAATTCCATAGATAATCTGTCCATCTCTGCACATTCGTATATATTTTTTACTATTACATGATCCGGACGGATGTCTGGTTGTTTCCAATTTTGTGCTATCACAATTCTACTTGCTGTTAGTATGTGTAATATGATATATTGTATACTTTTCTGCATTTTCCCTTCCAGAATACCCAGGAGAAACAATTCCAGTTTTCTTTCTATCTTCTACCCTTTATTTCATCCAGCCATTTTTTTAATCTTGCCCCCAAATTTCCTAATCTTAGGAGAATCTCAGGGCTTTTCATGGATGTAGGTTTGAGTGGATAGTCAAGTCCTGGATAGCCAGTTATTTATTATTAACTACGAAAACTGTCCTATTTTATTTTCACTTTTTTCTTTTTAATCTACTGTGTTGAGGAGGGGATGACCCTCCTGAAGGCAGGGCAAGAAGTACTGGGTGGAAATTTATCAAAGAGGGATCCAACCTAGAATTAAAGGAAAAAAAATTGAACTGACAGTAAAATCTGTTCAGGGGAATCGCCTGGCTTTCAGAAGTTGTGGTTGCTCCATCACTGGAGGATTTTAAAAAAGGACTGGAGGAGGACAGCCGTTTCTCTGGAATAGTATAAGGTCTCCCGCTCGAGTAGGGGGTTTGACTAGAACAGCGGTCACCAACTGGTGGTCCGTGGACCACTGGTGGTCCGTGAGAAAATTTTGGTGGTCCGCAGAAAAATTATTTGCATTTTTTATGTTGCACTAAATCGGGGTCCTCAAATTACGGCCTATGGATCTACAACATCAGCAAGGAAGTTGAGGACCATATGGGTTGGAAATTTGCAGAAGAGGCTTTCGTCTTGCAGATGCGAGGGGTCTGTAAATATTTTCACAGCCCTCTTTTTGACTTGTGCAGTAGACAGGTCCTCCGTGGAAGGCAGGTTGGTAGCCATGGTTTTTTCCTCCAGTTCTAATGATCCTCTGAAGTCTGTGTCTGTCTTGTTGGGTTGCAGAACCAAACCAGACAGTTATGGAGGTGCAGATGACAGATTCAATACTTCCTCTGTAGAACTGGATCAGCAGCTCCTTGGGCAGTTTGAGCTTTCTGAGTTGGCGCAGAAAGATTCTTTGTTGTGTTTTTTGGATGATGTTTTTGATGTTAGGTGTCCACTTTAAGTCTTGAGATGTTATGGAACCTTGTAGCAAGGGAGTAAGACAGAAATTCAAGATGGAGCACAAATACGACAGATAAGAACACGGTGGAGATGTTATTGGGCATTAAGCTTATGCCCGAAACCTTTATTGGAGAGCAAATAATTAAATGCATATTGCAGTTGTTTATTAACGCCATAGTTAGGTTACATGTAAAATTTAAACAACTTACCGTATCAACATTAACATTTTAGAGATCATAGCTAATGTTGATATAAACTGCTTCTTTATTTCTAAAGGTTGAAATTATTCACGCATTAGAGTGTTAATAATCTCCAGCCCACTTTGTGTAAATAGCACCGTACCCTTTCAAATAATTTTAATATTCAATAGAGAAAAAACAATAAAAGTGCAATCAATCAAATGAGCAATGCAAAACTATCCCTAACAAGAACTATTAGCAAACCATTTGTGGGCGAAGCTTATACTAATGTATAAGAAAATGTTGCTCCTTTTAGAAAAATATGTTTATCTTAATTATTTAACAGGTAATGCAAATAAAAGCGATCAGAGTGCGGAGAAATTTAAATAAAAGAGGAATAATCAACTGGTGGCCAATGTCCCTATAGGGCTGGCAATACAGAAGTGTGGTTTGTTTGATACAGGGAGACCTGAATTTACAACAGAGGTGGGTTTCAGCAGGTTCTGTCCAGTTCTGGAGAACCGGTGGTGGAAATTTTGAGTAGTTCGGAGAACCGATAGTAAAAATTCTGACAGGCCCCGTTCCCATCGATTCTCTGCCTCCCAAGTCCCAGCTGATCAGGAGGAAATGGGGATTTTGCGGTAACCTTCCCCCGGAGTGGGGTGGGAATGGAGATTTTACAGTATCCTTCCCCTGCCACGCCCACCAAGCCACCCCCACAGAACTGGTAGCTTGCAGGTTTCACATGATTTCCCCTATCGGTTCTCCAGAACCTGTTAGAACCTGCTGATTTTCACCCCTAGATTAGTTGTTACATCTGCCACAAAAATGTACTAAACGAAAAAGTGATAAATCTGCCCTCTGCCCTCCTCAACAGGAAGAACATCTATTTATATTTACTTACAGACTTACAGACTTAAGTGTGTGTGTATGTAAGTGTGTGTGTTTTTCTCTTTCAATTCCCATCAGACCAGATCAGCACAATTTGTGGTCAGGGCTGATGGGAATTGTAATCCAAAGCACCTGGTTGAGGCCAAGCTGGAACGAATGAGTAAGTGAATTTGAAATAAATTCTTCTTTTTCGAAAGTTGAGATCTTTATCTGGGTTTTTTTTTTTTAATGGTACAATGATTTCACAATAAAATTCCACAGCAAATTCTTCTAATATTTCATATTTTTTTAAAAAATATGAAATCCATGGATGAATTATCATCCGTGGATGAATCCATAATATATGAAATCCATGGAGCATTCACAACTTCTGGAGGCCATTTGTTCCACTGATTCATTGTTCTCACTGACAGGAAATTTCTCCTTAGTTCTAGGTTGCTTCTCTCCTTGATTGGTTTCAACAACAGGAGAGCAGGTGCCATCTTATTATACTTAATAAGAAATCGAACTTATTATGAGCTGATGGCCCCACTGTTTTGCTCATCAACTTTCATCTGTCTCTGTCTCTCTGTCTCTCTCTGTCTCTCTCCCCTATCTACTTATCTACCCTACCCATATACTCCTCCCCCACCCACCCATCCTCCCATCCATCCATCCATCCATCCACCCATCCATCCACCCACCCACCCACCCATCCATCCATCCCTCCCTCCCTCCCTCCCTCCCTCCCTCCATCCCCCCATCCATCCATCCATCCCCCCATCCATCCATCCATCCACCCACTGACCCATCCATCCATCCACCCACCGACCAACACCCATCCATCCATCCATCCATCCACCCACTCACCCATCCACCCACCGACCAACAGCCATCCATCCATCCATCCATCCATCCATCCATCCACCCATCCATCCATCCATCCATCCATCCATCCATCCATCCACCCACTGACCCATCCATTCATCCACCCACCGACCGACACCCATCCATCCATCCATCCATCCATCCATCCATCCAGCCAGCCAGCCAGCCAGCCAGCCAGCCATCCACCCACCCACCCATCCATCCATCCATCCATCCATCCATCCATCCATCCATCCATCCATCCACCCACCCACTCACCCACCCACCCACCCACTGACTGATCCATCCACCCATCCATCTATCCACCCATCCATCCATCCATCCACCCATGACCGACATCCATCCATCCATCCATCCATCCACCCATCCACCCACCCACCCACCCACCCACCTACCTACCTACGTACCCACCCATCCACCGATCTATCCACCCATTCACCCAGCTACCTACCTACCTACCTACCTACCCATCCACCTCCACCTACCCACCCATCCTAGCCGCCTGCAAACACGCACGGAGAAGGATTCAGATATAAGACTCCATTCTCCACTCAACTCGCTGGAGGTGGAATGCGAAGTTTTCAACTAGGAAAGGATGTTTTCTTTGGAACTCCTGCCTAGCAAACCTCATAGCTTCCCACTACATTTCTTATGGCTGACTTCAGGTGCTATGTAAACAGCTTAGGAGGAATGAAGAAAGATGAAAGCCAAAGACGAATGGGGAGTGAGTTGCGGAGAGGGGAAAACTATTCCAATGTCAAGAGGCAGATGAAAAAACAACAACAACAAAAAAAAACCTGATTTAGCTTTTGGAATCCTGTTGCTGATCTTGGCAAAGTGTTCAGGAGGGAAGGGAGGTGGCAAGCATCTGGGTTTTGTAGCTGAAGTTCAACTGAACAAAGATCTCGGTTTTGGATGTGGCATATCCAGGTTTCCCGCGAGCCTGAAAGAATTCCACGTTGGGTAATCTTTTGCAGTCAGTGATGGATCTCGAGTGTTGAGAGACCATGTTGTGGGCACTATCACCAGATGGCTGCTCTATTGGCCGGAACTAACTACGAAACCCTCATTTTACCTCTGATATCATAAAGGAGGGGATTGCATTACAACATACTTATTATGTTTCCCAACACTGCTCCTATCGGTGTCCTTTTTGGGGGGCAGGTGCAATGACAGCATTGCATTGAAGCTGGACTTCATTACTTACGTACAAAATAACGAACTCTGGTTTAAACACAATGCGCTCATTGCACCTGCCCAGGGCACCGATTAGAGCAGAGGCCTCTTGGAAAACGAATGATCACGGCTTATTAGCAGTTAAAGGTAAAGGTTCCCCTCGCACATACGTGCTAGTCCTTCTCGACTTTAGGGGGCAGTGCTTATCTCCGTTTCAAAGCCAAAGAGCCAGCGCTGTGCGAAGACATCTCCGTGGTCATGTGGCCCGCATGACTCAACGCCAAAGGCGCACGGAACACTGTTCCCTTCCCACCAAAGGTGGTCCCTATTTTTCCACTTGCATTTTTTTATGTGCTTTCGAACTGCTAGGTTGGCAGAAGCTGGGACAAGTCACGGGAGCTCATCCCGTCAGGCGGCGCTAGGGATTCGAACCGCTGAACTGCCGACCTTTCAATTGACAAGCTCAGCGCCTTAGCCCCTGAGCCACCGCGTCCCCTGTATTAGCAGTGAAATGTAGTATGTTGGCCTATATGGGCCCTTGTTCTTCTTTCATGCTGTTGTTACTTTCCCTTGCTTGACGTGTCCTCCTTCTCTTGTCAGGCACTGCGGTGTGTCCCCCTTGTGACAACGAAATGAAGTCGGAGGCCATCCTGGAGCACTTGTGCGCCAGTGAGTTTGGTAAGGAAACTTTTTCTTTCCCTTTTTTAAAATACACTTCGAATCGGAAGTTCTCGATGACCCAAAGTAGTTGACCCTTCTCCATTTTGTCTATGGTTGAAGAGTAGACCGAACACATGGCTTGTGCAGCCTTTGTGTATATATTAGGAAGGGTTGGACATGGGACCAGGTCTTGTAGGAGATTGATAGTTCCATGCCCAAACCAATCTCACCTCTTCAAAAAGCATTAGAGTGTTCCCTTGGATTTACTAGGCTGGTCCTGTTTGCTATCTGAAGTTCAAGAGATACAGAAGCTCCCAGGATGAACCTAGCTGAATAGTACCTCTGATCCAGATCATGGTTGCTTTCAAGAGCAACTGGACTTTCTGGTTTTTCTTTGAAGACGTTTCACTTCTCATCCAAGAAGCTTCTTCAGCTCTGACAGGATGGTGGGGAATGGAAGGATTTATACTCCTTGCAGACAGTTGGACATTTTGTATTCTTTGAGGGAGTCATTGAATATCAATCCTTCCTTTTCCCACTATCCTGTCAGAGCTGAAGAAGCTTTTTGGATGAGAAGCAAAACGTCTTCAAAGAAAAACCAGAAAGTCTTTTTGAAAAAAGAATCTTTGGGACATCTGCCCCTGAGATTGCTGAGTTGCAGAAAACCTCAATCATGGGAACAGCCCAACCTGTGTCACTCAAAGTCACCCTGAGCATCTCCGGAATGCAAACTCCCATCAGTGTTTCAGTTGATCTAAAGTGACCCAGGCTAATTGAAAAATCCGGAGGAGTCTGGCATCCCTCCTTCTGACTCACCCGTTTTATTAAAAGGTGTAAGATTTTATGATCTGAAACTTTTAGGCCTTCTTCTTTTTTTTAAAAAAAGAGTAATTTTATCAAAGATTCGTCATTGCAACGGTAAAAAAAAACACGTCTTTATAAAGATAGAAAAATCGAGACAGTAAAAAGGGGGAAAAGGAAAACATAGAAAGAAAAAAAAGAAAAGAAAAAATATAGCAAAGAAAAAAGAAAAGGGTTGACTTTCCAAAGTTCACCTCCTCTTCAATGACAACCTGCATCTAACTGCCTGAAGTCTGTACTATTTTTTGATGTTTAGTCAACAGCCATTTCGAGGTATTAAATAAAAGCATCAGATAAACCAGCTTTATATTCCTTCTAACTGTCTTAACTTTTAGTTATGTCGTAGAACCAGGGGTGGGCTTTGAAAATTTTAGCAAGGGATTCTCTGCCTGGTTGCTGGGGTGGGCGTGGCCATGGTGGGCGTGGCCTAGTCGGCCTCCTGCACCACGGTGAGGGTGAGGTATTTTTGCCCTCCCCGGGCTCTGTAGGCTTTCCTAGAGCTTCTGGGAGGGCGAAAACGGCCTCCCCAGGCTCCGGAGGCCCTCTGGAGGCTGGAAACGGGCCCATTTCCAGCCTTCCTGAACTTCCAGTAGGCCCATTTTTCACCTTCCCCGAGCCTCCACGCACACCCTGCACTTACCTGCGTCCAAAACAGGCCGTGTGGGGACACCTGGGAGGGGCGGGGTGGGTTGGGTGGGGCCAGCCAGGAGTGGATTTTCGGGGTTCTTCGAACTGTGCAGAATCTTAGCTAGAGGTTCTCCCGAACCCGTGCGAACCCCCAGCATAGAACTTATTTTTTCCCATTTCTTCTTTATTCTTTCTCACAAGATTCTTCAAAACCTGTAAAAAGTCTCATTTGTAAGTCCAACAAGGTGAAATTATCCAGATCCCTTTCTTGATTTCTTGTTTATATTCCCCCCTTAATTATTAAAACATCAGCCAGTTTCTTCCAACACCCAGTATAATACTTTTCCCCCCATGTCATTCTTGTGGCCTGTCATTTATAAATCCACCTTCAGCTCAGTCTCTGTCTTGCATAGTAAAATGTGTTCCTCTTCCATAACATCTTTTAGAGTGACACATTCTATCCATAGAGCCAGAAATCGCTATTGACATTGTTAATAGTAACCTTTGACTCCATTTTTCCAAAGGGTTTTTCAATAGTTCCAGAGTTAGAATATTTTGCGCCATTCTATAACTGTTATCCAAGTTTATGAGTTCTCTTTTAATTGAAATCTTTAGTTCCCTCTAGTGTCCAATTTTTAAAATCTTATTATGTTCTTTAAAAAAAAAAAAATTCAAAACAATTACCCGGAGCCCTTGTGGGTTATCTCCTATCCTATCTTTGTCCAGAGACTTTTAAAAAGATAGTCTACTCACCAGCTGTTCATTCTTTGCCATGTTGTCAGCTCCATTTTTCATGGAACCATCTCTTCCTGAAGAAGTGACTTATGCCGTCTACCAGTGGTGAAATCCAATTTTTTTTTACTATTGGTTCTGTGGGCGTGGCTTGGTGGGTGTGGTGTGGCTTGATGGGCGTGGCAGGGGAAGGATACTGCAAAATCTCCATTCCCTCCCCACTCTTGGGGGAAGGATATTGCAAAATCCCCATTCCCTACCCACTCCAGGGGAACGATACTGCAAAATCTCCATTCCCTCCCCACTCCTGGGGGAAGGATATTGCAAAATCTCCATTCCCACCCCACTCTGGGGCCAGCCAGAGGTGGTATTTGCTGGTTCTCTGAACTGCTCAAAAGTTCCGCTATCGGTTCTCCAGAACCTGTCAGAACCTGCTGGATTTCACCCCTGCCTTCTACTACAAATGCTACCAGACTCTTAATTTTTTGCTACCATAGATTAACATGACTCTCCTCCTCCAAGTCTAACTGAAGATGCCTTGCATTATCTCTTCCCTTGTCTCTATTAACAGTGAACATGTGGACACTGTTGAGGGTAGAGTCAACTCTTGAATGCCTAGCATATGCCCAAAATTGACAACATCTGGAAAAGGTTCTGATCTTTCATCTCTGCATTAAGTGGAGAGTAACTCAGAAGGAAGTATATTTGTATGTGTATACGAGTATATGTAGAAGTATATATGGCGTCATAGATACTGCTAATGAATAGGGAAGATTGAGGTATCATAGTTGTTTGTAGATGCACATAGATTACTAGTCAGTTTGAGAAGAGGCATGATCAAAAAGGTCAAATAATGGAGGATGGAGTTAATCCTGGAAGCTGATGAAGCTCTCTAAGGGATATGTCTCAGAATGCTGCAAACTAGCTCCCATTCAGATATGTGAACTGCAACTTCCAGAGTTCCCTAGCTGGTAGAAGCTTTGCAGGAAATCTTACACACTGAAATTTGGAGAGAAGCCCAAAAGGGTACTTTTAGGAGTAAGGAAGAAGGGTACAGTTTTGGATTTTCTATCTCAAACACAAAGCTGTCTCAACCTGATTCAGAGAAACAAAAAATTCATTCAACAGGCATTGGGTTAACACAAATACAGAGAGAGAGAGAGAGAGAGAGAGAGAGAGAGAGACAGACAGACAGACAGACAGACAGACAGACAGACAGACAAAGAGAGAGAGAGACAGAGAGATAGAGACAGAGAGAGAGACAGACAGAGAGATAAAGAGAGAGACAGAGAGAGACAGAGACAGAGAGACAAAGAGAGACAGACAGAGAGAGAGACACACAGAGAGAGACAGAGACAGACAGACAGACAGACACACACACACACACACACAGAGAGAGAGAGAGAGACAGAGAGAGATACACACAGAGACACAGAGAGAGAGAGAGACAGACAAAGAGAGAGAGGGACAGAGAGAGAGAGAGAGAGACAGACACAGAGAGAGACACACACAGAGAGAGACAGAGAGAGAGACAGAGAGAGATACACACAGACACACACACAGAGAGAGACAGACAAAGAGAGAGAGGGACAGAGAGATAGAGAGAGAGACAGACAGAGAGAGAGAGACACACACACAGAGACAGAGACACACACACACACACACACAGAGAGAGAGACAGAGAGAGATACACACACAGACACACAGAGAGAGATAGAGACAGACAAAGAGAGAGAGGGACAGAGAGATAGAGAGAGAGACAGACAGAGAGACAGAGACAGAGAGAGAGAGAGAGAGACAAAGAGAGAGAGACAGACAGATAGAGAGACACACACAGAGACAGAGACAGAGAGAGAGAGACACACAGAGAGAGAGACAGAGAGAGATACACACACAGACACACAGAGAGAGACAGACAGACAGACAGAGGGACAGAGAGAGGGACAGAGAGACAGAGAGGAAGACAGAGAGAGAGACACACAGAGAGAGACAGAGAGAGAGAGAGAGACAGACAGACAGACACACAGAGAGAGACAGAGAGAGAGAGATGGAGAGGGTTTGGGATTAATCCAAAGGAAAACATCAAGAAACATTATCCTCTCTTTCATTAAAATACATTTGACCAGGGCAAAAAGAATATGCAAAGAAAGGGCACATTACTTCCTGGAATGAATCAGGAAGGCAATGTATGATGTAGTATCAGTGTTTCCTGCAATTGGGGCAAGGAAGAAGGTGAACTTTGGGAAGTTCACCCATTTCCTTGACTTAATCATAATCATAAGCTTATTTGTCAAGCATATATAACAGGTAAAAGTATAAACATAATTTGAATACATGAAAAGGGTAAGTAAAAAGGAACATTAGGACAGGGACGGTAGGCACGCTGTTGTGCTTATGCACGCCCCTTACAGACCTCTTAGGAATGGGGTGAGGACAACAGTAGACAGTCTAAGGTTAAAGTTTTGGGGATTTGGGGGAAGAAACCACAGAGTCAGGGAGTGCATTCCAGGCGTTGACCACTCCGTTGCTGAAGTCGTATTTCCTGCAATCGAGTTTGGAGCGGTTTACCTTGAGTTGATCCAGCTCTCCTATTTTCCATGTAGCTTTGGCACAACACTTCTCCACTTTAGCAACTTTTAAGCCATGTGGACTTCAACTCCCAGAATCCCCCCCCCCCCCCCCCCCCCCCCCCCCCCCTAGTATGGCTGTAGAGCAAAGGCACCTCAGCGGCCAAGTCATCTGCTGATGGTTTATGCAGGACCTTGGCGAAAGGATCCAAGGAGCCAATTTTGCGGGCA